TTTTTTTTATTTAATTTGGTATTGATAATTGATAATATAATTTTAAAATGATTGCAGCCTTAGTTAAAAAGTTATAAGCTAGTGTTTATATATCCATACATTTTCTGCCACTCAGGAGAAGGTTCTAGAAGTCGTCATTACACCCTGGACAATTTCCCGGTCCTTCGATGGACGACACATATTATAATAATTATTAATTAGTTTATAATTATAATTCATTGTATTAGAATATTTAATTTACTTATAATACTATTATTTTAATAATAATTAATGAATATAATTATAATTATCGTATTATTAATGGCGAGAGCCCAGAACTTTCTGCGCTACGCTCTCCGAAGCAGGCGCGCTAACTGCTACGCTACGCAACCAGTACACAGACAAATCATTATTTACACTCACATTCGCAATTTAAAGTGTCCAATTTAGCCTAGCCATCTGCATATTTTTGGACTGTGGGTGGAAGCACCAGTATGTGGAGCGGAGCCAAACACAGACTCCATAAAGAAAGACAATCTGTTAGAGCCAGGCCAGAGATCTTCTTGCTCAGGGGAGTGAGAGTCAGAGCTAACAGTCAGGCTACTGTGTGGCCTGCGTTTCACTGACTTTATGTAGTATTACAAAATGACTGAAAACAGCAATTAAGGCTGGAAACTGGTCATTAAAATCTATACTCACTCATATAAATCAAATGACGTCGGCGAGCTGGGTCATTAATTGTTAACGCCTCCATGTCACCGCCTCACAACAACTCAACCCCTGAGGTTCGTGTGTGTTTGTGTGTGTATATCCGTGTGGTAGGACACGCTAGAATGGGAAAGTCTGTTCAGAATGTGTAACCCACAGTACAGCCTACATAAACAGAATTACTTTTAAAACTAGTGCGCCACTTCTAAGTCCCATGCATGTACAGCTAAGTATTAGATAGATATATCCATGTTTTATTTAGTCTGTCTTTGAATATCATTGTTAGAGCTTTAGATGCTAATTAGGTGTTGATGCTAATGTGACCAAAATAGAAAGAACTAAAAAAAACAATGCCATCTGCTGTTCAGGAAGACTTTTAGATTAATTGGTAAATGAACACCTGTAATAGTGTTTACTATCTGAAATGTAGTGTTATGTAGTTTACTTTTAACCCCACGCATTACAATTGCCAAGAAAACATTTGTCTGGGGAAAGAAATTACCTCCTATGCCACACATTTTATGTCAATTTTGGCAAATTATCCTCTCAACCGCGCAATGCAAATCTTAGCAATATTACATTGTTTACACAACGAGCAATATGTACATAAAATAATTTGAAATCTAAATTAGCCAAGATTTCCAATTACCAACGAGTGACTGTAGATTGCACACCACCAATCAAACCAGTGGCGTTAAGGCGGAAATAAATTGCACATTGATCCTGACACATTCCTGTGTCCTTGCTGTGCGTGCAGTAATCTCACAGAGAGAGGAGGCAAAGCCAGCTGCCAGGGGACAAGGTTAGGCACGTTCCAAGGTCACCTTAGCATTAGTCCCAACAGGCTCGTGTGGACGGGCTGATCAAACACAATATCAATGTAAATTGGACCTCTCTGCCGATGTCGTCCTCCCAAACGACCACTCCGTTTCGTTTAAATAATTCATTCATCCGGGGATTCAATATTAGAAAAATACCACCTTAGGACGCAATCACAACACAATTTACAACACCCTATACGTATATCACTGTGGAATTAGCTGTACGAACAATGTAGTACTACACATTTGTTTAGGTTAGGACGACATATTTAATTATTAATACAACAAGAACTGACAGCGTGTTCACAGAGTAAAATAACTCCTCTCTCAACATGATTCCAGCTGACTATCGCTCAAACAGCTGTAAAAAGAAAAAAAAGAAGAAGCAATAAACGTCTCCTAGAATTTTTCCTTTTTACATTTATCCTCACTGTGAGGCTTTGGAACACACTCAGCTATTTCCTGCCTGCTTTCTTTAGGGTTTGCACAGTCATCTCACCTCGTGCCTTGTCTTCTCTGCCGTTATACAGTACATAAGCCATATTATCTGTGGGGTTTCACCCCCCCCAACGTCCATGAATCTCAGGTCTTCCTCTTTTCGACCTGCCTGGCAGCTCTATTTTCACCCTCTCTTGTTAAATATTTCCAACATGTCTCCTCCGCGCTCCTCCTCACCTTTTTCATTCTAACCTTATTTTCACATGAAATCCGCTTTGCTGTTCACCCGGGTTTACTCCAGGTACACATTTCCACATATTTAACTCACAAATGTATGTCAGTATCATGGCAACAAATATCACTGCATCTGGAAATGTTTACTTTTTATTCACAATTTGAACAGTTTGCAACAAACAAATAACAAATTTTGACATACGTATGTATTTCACACGCAGAATTTGACTACTTCATTTAACCAATGCAAGAAACCATAGTATGCATTTTGAATTTTTTTTTTTGATTCAAACAATCCTATGCATGTTAGAAGGCCATATAAAATTAGGTGGTGGGCCGGATGTGGCCTGCGAGCCTTCAGTTTGACATACTGCTTGTTTTCACAGTTTGACATACGTGATCTATAGGGAAAAGAAGCCAGTCCATCTGCTTATTTTCGAGTTATTTTCTTACCCATCGTTATTGATGTCATCTGCAAACGTGATGATTCACAGACTCTGACCTAATCTGTCAGTCTGACCATCACAAACAAAAAGCCGCTCAGAGCTATTTCCCAACACCATAAATACGACTTGCATTTTTTTTATTCATTAGCCTGCACCACCCTCAACATGTTTTCTGCCGCTTCAGACTTCCTTATACAGTGCCATACTGTACTTCCTCGCTCAAAATTCCACCTCCAAATCTACAAAGACTAATTTACAGGCTCTTATCTATCCATACCACCTTTACCAAAACTCCTTTAACGTTAGCGTCTTAAACGAGCCATTTTCATCTGCCGTCTTTCAGACAATCGCTGCCTCCAAACCGCATTTCATGTCGCCTTTCACTTCCGTCTGGTAAAGCTGTCTTTTCGCTCACACTGCTGCTATCTCTCTGTCGCACATCACTCCCAACCCTAACTTCCGCCCACTCTACCCTGCCTGAAGTGCTCCAGTTTTCCTCATGATATAAAAAAAAAATACTTAAAAGTAATGTATTTAAAATCTGTCATATCATAAAGGATTAAATTAGCGTGGCACAACCTCACGCTTAGGTGTCACAATGCGACGTCTGTGGTAGCATTTCACAAATAGCAGAGTACCTCCCTAGCTACCTCGGTGAAATGAATTCTCGATTACACAAAGAAGCGTATGTCACGTTGTACTTAACAAAACAATATGTTACAAAAGCCCAAGCTCTCTCTGTTCAGCCATCCTCACTGATGTAAGCCTGCCCAAATCTTCTGACTCATCTCCTGCCAACATCATTAAACCCCCGAGTTTCCCGAGGTCCGCCACGTCTTCTTCCTGTGTCTTTTAATCCGCGGATTTAAGGTTAGATCATTAGCTACAGCTTCATACAAATAACAACAGGTTGCCCGGATCTCAGTCACCTTCACACACAACGTCTGAG